CTCGTCGCAGTCGCTCCGGAACTCGCAGGATTTCCTTGGCGGAGGCGCCCGCGCTTCCCCACGAGGTGCGCGGGGGCGGGCAGGGGCCGCGGCAAGCTCGCAGCCCCCGCACGCACTCCTGTGCTCAGCTGCGTTCTTGCTCTTGTGGGCATTGCGCAGGCCTGACGAGAGCTTGAGAGGTCCCTTCCAATGTCAGGCACGACGGCAACGACAATCGCAATATACATGTAGCTCGCCCCCCCCTCGCCCCCAAACCCAAGGTTGAGGTGTCCGTATTTTGTCCCCCGCGCGTTGCCTCGCACCCAGCCCCGTCGACTTTGGGCTGGGGGGGGACGGGGGCTATGGATAATTGCTGGACGCAGTACGATGTCGCATCATCTTGACGCGATGGGTGTGGACACGTTTTGTCCACCCACCGTACAGGAACAAAAAACGGCATAAACATAAACGTTTGCAGATCCAGGCGGATTTCTCAGATCGTCGCTGGGGCCCCCTGGCGGAGCCTCCGCGGACCTCTGCGGCCCTATCATACGCGTGATTTCGACCGGATTTTGTCCAGATTTCGACCACCCCTCTTCACCCTTTCGTTAGGATGTGGTCCAGATTTCGTCCAAATGTCGACCAAATCCGACGAAATCTGGACGAAATCCCCAGACTCGCAAGGAGCTTGTGGGGACCCCCTGATGCTCCCATGAAGGACCACACAACCGAGGTTTAGGTCGGGCGTGTCCCCCTACAGGGGGATTCTGCAGGAGGAAATAAAAATACCCCCCCAAAAAAAAAACGAAATAGTCGAAAAAAACCCAGGAAAATCGTCCCGGACTATTCTTGGACTACTTTTGAATCTCCCTCCTGTGGAGGGACAGGCCCGACTCAAGACGACGTGCGCGGGGGCGGGCGGGGGCTGCGGCAGGCTCGCAGCCCGCACTGCTGGCGCGCACGAGAGCCCGAAGCACCCAGTTCCTGCGGCAACCCCAGGGAGTCTCCCGTGTCACAGGGGGCAAACAATTTTGATTCGCGGGTCGAGAGCGCACCTCTTCCGGTCGAGACTAAGCGGGCCAGGGGGCAAACAAACCCACCTCGCTTTTGACCACCCTCGCTTCCAAGAGATACCAAGCGATGCCAAACGACGGCCTGTGCTGGTCAGGCCGCTTGACGAGGAGGCGCGTGGTATGACTTGGCTTTGCCTGGAAGCGAAAGCGGGGTAGGTAATTCACGCTCAATTCACGCTCTGTCATCTTGTTGGCACGATGACGCCCGTGACTGGCCCCGCTCCAGGAGGGCCCAGAATCGAATCCGCCGACCCCCTGGGTCATCGGCGTGTGAGATGCTTCCCCCTCCCCAAACCCCTCCCCGGGGAACCCGGTCCAGTCGATTTGGAGGGGGGGGGGGGGCCGACCACGAGCGACTCACGACGCTCTTCCGGGCCCAAAAAGGCCCAAATACGGGCCAAAAAGGCCCCAAGAGGCCTCCCAGACGTTCCAAGAGGCCCCCAGACGCCCCAAGAGACCGCCTAGACGCCCTAAGAAGCGCCCAAAAGGCCCCAAGAGGCTTCCAAGACGCCCCATGAGGGCTCCAAGACGCCCGAAGAGACCTCCAAGACGCCCCAAGAGACCTCCAAGAGGCCCCCGAGGAGCGCCCCAAGAGGCCAAAATCGTTGATTTTCATTGGTTGTTTTTTCAATGTTTTCGTCATTTTCGCCTTTTCGGCCTTCCGACGCTCCAAGACAGCCCAAGAAGCTCCCAAGACTGCTCCAAGACGGCACAAGAGGCCTCCTCGACGCCCCCAAGACGGCCCAAGAGAGCCCCCAGACGGCCCAAGAGCCGCCCAAGGCGGCCCAAGAGAGCCCCCAGACGGCCCAAGAGCCGCCCAAGACGGCCCAAGAACCTCCCGGAGACGGGCCCAAGAGGGGCTCCAGAGAGAGACCACGCACCGGAAAACCCAGCCTTACGTCCCAAGAGGCCCCCAGGAGGCCCCCAGAGGCCCCAAAGAGGCCCCAAGAACCCCCCAAGAGGCCCCCAAGACGTTCCAAGAGGCGCCCAAGAAGCCACAAAGAGGTCCCAAAACGGCCCCCAAAAGCCTTCGAAACTGCTCCAAGAGGCCCGCAAGAACCCCCCCCCGCAAGATCCCAACGGACATCCCTGAACACACCGGTTTTTCGAGTCGCGCCCAGTCCCATAACCCGGAGCCTCATCTCAGTGTCCCCGTCCTCCTCCTCTTCCTCCTCCCCCTCCTGCACTTCCTCCTCGTTCCCCTCCTCCTCTTCCTGCCCCACTTCAGCTCATCCTCACCGATGCTTCTCCCCCCCATTTTCCGCCTCACCCCCCATCCTCCTCTTCCCGTCCTCCCTTTCTGCCCAGTACGCGCAACCGATTGGGCATCATTTGCACGTCTTGCACTTTAGGGTGCCCTTCTTTGCGTCGCGCGGGACATTGTGAGGGTCGGGGAACGCCGACGTTGGTAGCCCTCTCTCGCACGCGCCGCTGCACTGATAAGCCTGGCAACTGCGCGCTGTGAACCCGAGTTCCTCGCAGCTTCTGCGCACCAGTTTAGCTCCTTTCGCCGCTCGATGATGTTCCACTTGCTTCTGCTTCAAATGTCTCGTGTCCGAGAACGCGCCTTTGCACGCCGCGCACGTCAGCGGTTTCGCGTCCGCCTCTGCTTTCCGCTTGCGATTCTCTGCATCCGCCTTCTCGTCCCGCCCACCCTTCTCGTTGCGGGCGCACGCCCTGCAAAGCCTCTCCCCCGCATCTTTCGAGTCGTACTGGTTCGCCGCCACTTCCGCCTCCGTCTTCAAGAAATTCTTGCACTTCGCGCACCGAATCTGGACTTTCTCCTGAATCTGAGAGGCCTCTGAACCACAACTCAGGCACGGTGGCGGGATGGGCCGACTACTGGGAGGAGGAGCAAAGACGACGACGATAGGAATGCGGGGGATAAAGTCGGGCCATGACGCCCCCAAGACGTCCAAGATTGCCTCCAAAAAAAACAAGGGGTCGGCGGTGTGGCGTAAGCCTAAAGATCGACAAGTCGGATCGGCGATCGACACGAATCGGATCGGCGGAAACCAGCAGCCGAGTCGGGAAAAGTCGAATCGGCGGACATCGGCAGGCTAGTAGGCCTCCAGTGAGAAAACGGAGCCCACATCGGAATCCGAAGTCGAGTCGAATCGGAATCGGAATCCATCGAAATCGAATCGAATCTAAGGAATCCAAACGAGCCCTGCCGCTCCCCCCCCACGAGGTCACGTCAGGATTCCCGCCGGCGCCGTCTGGGAATGAGCCATCCTTCAGCATTCCCAGGACGGCGCCGGCGCAGATCGTGACGTGGCCAGCCCCCTCTCCCCCAACCGGGGTCACGCCCGTCATAGCCAGGGGACAAAAATAATGCCTCGGTCGAATCGACGCTAACCGACGCTAGTCGACGCGAAGTCGACGCTAACCGGCGCTTTCTCAACGGTCACCAAACGCTAGCGCACGCTAACCAGACGAAATTCCGAGACGTACGAAACTCCCATGAGCTGCTACCGAACCCAGCAGGTGAGTGAAGCGTCACCTGCACATAACTGGCGTGGGAGCTGCCTACTGCGCAAGCCGACCGAGCCGCCTGCCCGCCACGGCAGGCTCGTTCAACCTTGAACCATCGGCGGCTTTTCGATCACCACATCGTTTCATCTTGGTCGATTCTGGGCCAATGGCAGCGTTCAACCTTAAACGCCCGCAGCGGGCTCGACGCCGCGTCGAGACGGCGCAAATCTGCTGCACTGAGGTGGCCCAGCTCCGCGCGTCGTGCCCTGCTGATGCGCGACGCGCAGTTTACCTTGAGATCGGGCGTGCCCTCCCGCAGGAGGCTTGTGGCGGCGGAAAATGCACATTGCCGAAACAGACTCAACACATGCTCCGAAAATGATCCAAAACAAATCGTCCGAACACATTCAGCAGATGCTCTGAACACGACGGAACAGATCGTCCCCAGCCTGCTCTGTGACCAGGTTTGGACAGACCCCTCCTGGCACACGCCCGACTCGGAGCTGCCCCCGCGCCCCCGCCGCCCTCGCCCCCGCCCCCTCGCCAGAGGGGGGCCCGCCGCCCTGCCCCCAGGCACCGCGGCGCGCCGCGACGCGGCGGCGCGCGACTGCTCCTCCTCCCGCCCCCGCGGGGTGGCCCGGGCGGCTGCCGCTTGGCCGTGCTCGGCACGGGGGTCCTGGGGAGCCCTGGCCTCAAGTGGGGCGTGCCCCCCTGCGGGAGGGATCCTCGGGAGTGGTCCGACGCACACGAACGGGCTAGGGCGCGACGCTTCGGTGCCTCTCTGGTCGGCGTTGAGATCTGGTTGGCCATGCTCCTACTCGTCCTCCAAGATCTGCCTGCAGGCGGACATGCCCGACCTAACCCGGACCCTCTCCCGCCGGGCCGTCTCTTCGTCCCGAGCCGTGCTCGACGGCAACGGGACCCGGCGAAGGCCACCCCTGGCCGAAAACGGCATGCAGAAGCCAGGACGCTGGGCGCGCGGATCCCCGCGGTCCACCGCCCCGCTCCCGACCGGGCCGACCCCGTGGCCGGGAGTGCGGGGCGGGGACTTGTCCATATCCACCGCCTGGGAACTGACGTCCTGGTGCCCCAGCGGGCGGTGGACATGGATATTTGTCAGCCCCCCGGGGCCCGAATATATCCTCATCCACCGCCTGCCGAGGTCCCCGAAAATTGATCCTCCAGGCGGTGGTCATGTATAAATTCCCAGCCTTTCTGCGACTGGAGCGTCGACTCTTTCGAGCACCCCCCCCTCAGCATCAGTGGAAAGCAGAGCTGAATAGGCCTGGAAATGGGCACCAACAACAACACAAGGGGTTGCCTCCACAGGGGGCAGATGATCCTAGATGTCGGTGCTGGTGGTAATAGTTCAGTCACCTTGGAAGCCAAGGTAGACCACCACCACCGAGATCGGGATCTTCTGCCCTCGATGGAGGCACACCGCCGATGCTGGTGCTGGTGTCCACCTCTAGGCCTGCGAAGTGCGAAAATTTCGAGTCCCGAAACGGTGCGGTGACAGACCGTGCGGTGACCTCGGAACCCCAAGAGACCTCACTGCACGGTCCGTCACCGCACGGTTGTGGGACCCTGGAGGCCCCTGTCGTCCGAGACATTCTCAGAGAACGACCCGAGTCCCAAAACCGTGCGGTGACCCCGAATCCCCGCCGACTCACCGCACGGTGTGGCCACCGCACCTTTTGGGGGCCCCCGACAAAAGAGGCCTGGGAGCCGCGCCCGATTCCCACCGCCGGGATGCTCGAGATGCTCACCGCACCACGGGGTGGCCCCCACCCCGGACGTCCCCGGCCCCACGTCCGCCGGTCCACGGCCGCCGTGCCGCCTGCCTCACGCATGTCTGGGACGCTTCCTTGCTCTGCTCGCAGCCCTGCTGCAAGGTCGGGCGTCTCTCCCTACAGGCGGATCCTGGACGAAACATCCAAACATGGTCAAGCCATGATGCTCCAACAAATGCCCCCAAAAAGGATCAAAACATCGTCCCGAGACTATGTGTGGACTACTTCCGAATACCCCTCCCGTGGAGGGGCACGCGCCCGACTTCACCCCTGGTGCACGCGCGGGCCGGTCGGGCAGCACAGGGGGTGCACTGCACAGCAGAGCACGCCGCGGCGCGGAGACGCGGAGAAGGGCAGGCAGGGCGGCCGCGGAACGTCGCCACCGTGCCCCCCCAGTGCACGCCGAGGAGCTGCTAGGATGTCCAGGTGCTGCCCGGCAGAGTGTCCGCCGTCTTCTGCGGGGCCCCCCACGGGGCTCCCAGCCCACAGCCCAGGCATGGCGGCGGGACTTGCCGCAGGCAGCCCAGAATGCAGTGGGAGCTCGACCACGAGGAATCTGCCACAAGAAGCCCAACCCTGCGACCCCAGGATGTCCATGGACGTCTGGCGTGGGAAAGCCACGCCTTCCACCGCAAAACCATCTGAACCCAAGAAAGCCAGGGCGCCCTGGAGGCAAGCGGGGTGTTCCTTGGCTTATGTTGGCAACCAAGACCACATCCCAAAAATGATTTCGAGCACCCGGAAAAGTGTCGAAACAGTGTCTCCCAGGGCCCGACACGTGGAAACCCTGGAGCCTCGGCACTTTGTTGCTGCTCGAAACTATTCCTGGCGATCAAGGCTCAAGTAGGTTGGAACATCATAATCCTTGGCATGGGTTGCCCCTGCAACAGGGAGGGGGAAGGCGGCCCCCCCCTGACCGTATAGAGCTCTCCCAATGGGTGTGCTGCGGCCCAGGCTCCGAGGAGCAGAGCAAGCAGCACGCGAGCAACCGACGCCCGTGACCGTAAGGACCTCGGGTCGGAGGATCGCGCCGCGTCGCCGATGCACGCGGCGATGCACACGGCGATGCACACGGCGATGCACACGGCGATGCATCGGCGGCGTGGGCGATACGCCCGCGACGTCGGCGCGAAGAAAATCGGCCCCACGTCGAGCCGCTGCGCCGATGGCTCGGCAGTGCCTCGCAATCCTCCGACACCATCTGCGCGTGGTGGGCCAACCACCACAAACCACCACCACCAGCACCACTACCAGCAGCAGCACCACCACCAGCACCACAGCCCACCACCACCACCACCACAAACCACCACGCCACCACCACCACCACCGCCACCACCACGACCACCACCATCACCACCTCAACCCACCACCACCACCACCAAACCACCACACAACAACCACCACCACAGCCACCACCACCACCACCACAACAGCTCACAACCACCACAACCAATACAACAACCCACCACCACTACCACCACCACCGCAATCTACCACACCACCACCACCACCACCGACACAACCACCACCACTACTACTACCAGCAGCAGCACAACCCATCACCACCACCACAACCACCACAAACCACCTCACCGCCACCAAAACCACCGCCACTACCACCACCACCAGCACCCCCGCCGCCGCCGCCAGTCGCCGCCGACGCCGGCCGGCGCCAGCCCGAGGAGAGGGAGAGAGGAGAAATAGGGGAGGGGGGGGTCTGCTTCCAAACTCCCCCCCCTCCAAGCGACCACAGAACGCGCTGTTTCAGAGGTCTCGACCTCTTCCCCTCGGCCAATGGCTCACGTCCGCTGGACCCGGCGAGGGCCCCGAAGATAGCCGAAGACCCCCCGTCGTGAGTTCAGTCACGACGCGAGGGGGGCTGGGACCGTGCCCCCTGCTCTGGCCCGCAGATCCCCGCCCCCCCCCCGCGCGCGATCTCCCGAGCAGACCGCGGCCGTACAGCGTCTCGGCGATCGCCTCCTGAGGCGGCGGCCTCCGCGCTCGGGCTGCGCCGCCGCGGTGCGGCTGCCGCCGTTGCCGTCGTCGCCGTCGTTGGGGTCGGCCATGTGCAGTTGCGGCCGCCGTCGCCGTCGCGCACGTGGGAGGGCCGCTGATCTCGGGCCCCCCCCTGCCCGCGGGGCAGTGTTGCGGGTGCGCGGCGGCGGCGGCCCACCGCGCCGCAGCCAGCGGGGCAGCCGGAGCCACCCCACTGCCACCGCGGCTTGGTACGCCCCGTCACTGCCGCTCTCCCGTCACGTCGCCCCACTGCTCGCAGGAATGCCCGCTACGGTGGCCGTCCCCCCCATCCCCCTGCCCCCATCCACGGCAATGTCAAATTTCGCGCCGGCCCCATCTGGGAATGGCTGAGGGTATTACAATTCTGGAGCGGCCCCAGGGAAAACCGTGACGCCACTGGCATCCCCCTATGGCAACGCCTGTCACCAACTGAGGATAGACCAGATCGAACACGTATGCGACATATTATGTAGCTGACAAATGTGTGTTGTTCTATATGCATGTACACACGTGTGTTACTATATATATGTGCATACATATACATCGTCGTGTTCAAAGACATGTGCACACATACGTATAGGTATACACATAAACATCTACATTTACATAAACCGATACGCCTATACATACACCTGTATATGTACACACATATACGCATGCACATACATGTACATATACATGTATCTAAACATGTACCTGAAAATGCAAATATACGTATGTATACACATATACGCATACACAGGCATGCACATGCGCATGCACAAGTGCATGTACAAGTATATGTACATATACATATACATATGCATATGCATGTACATATGCATATACAGCTACAACTACAGAAGCCCAAGCATGGACACATCCCTGTACACATACGTATACATATACATATACACAAACATGCATATATATATATATGTATATATGCATGCACATGCACAAGAATACAGACACGTACATGTACGTGTACATGTACGTGTACATAATTATGCATATACACATACGTGCACATCATAATACGAATGTCCATACACATACACACATATATATAACCATATGCATATGAATATACACATACATATACACAACCTATACCTTGGGTAGGTGCCGACGCGCTCGGCGCCAACGCCAGCGCCCGGTGAAAAAAACGCAGCACCCCGAACAGAAGGACTGGACTGGGCTGGCACGCTGGGAATCCAACTGATCTCTCAACTAACCGAGCCCGACTTCCCAAGCAACGCTGCCGAGCATCCGCAAGGATTATACTAGACGCAGTGCATGCTGTTACCTGACACTCGGCCCAGCACCGCCCTCTGCAGAGCAGCACTGGCCCTGGCAACGCACCAGCTGTCGAGGAGGACGAGGAAGAGGAGGCGCTCCTCCACTCGGGACCTCCACAAGCGTCTACCCGTGCCCACGGGAGGGCTGGCCGGGAGGCGGAGGGAGGAGGAGGAGGAGGAGGAGGAACGGGAGGAGGAGGAGGAGGAGGAGGAGGAGGATCAGGAGGAGGGGGAGCGGGCAAGCTAGGTGCGCTCGCGTCATATCTAACATCCTACCCCTCCCTCCCATCCCTTACTATGGCGTAGATCCCCTCTCTACTCGCACAGTCGGATGTCGAGCAGGGCAATGATCCCGAAAGGGTACGCGATGCATTGTAGAGCACGGCATGGCATGGCGTAGAAGAGCACCGCAAAGCGTAGTATCAACCTAGCATTGTATTGCATGCCGTGGCATGGCACGGGAAATGACGCCAGCGCTGCAGCGGGAGCACGAGTCGAAACGAGCGGAAGCGCGGAAATGAGGCCAGCGCTAGAGCGGGAGCACGATTCGGAACGAACGGAAGCACGGAAAATGAGGCCAGCGCTGCAGCGGGAGCACGATTCGGAACGAGCGGGGCCCGAAAATGAGGCCGGCGCCTCAGCGAGAGCAGCATTTTGAGAAAAAATGCAGGCGAAAACCCAACTCCGGGGAAACCTGTGTAAAAAAACAATACGCGGGGGGGGTCGAGCACTTTCAAACCGTCATCAGGGGAAGAGGGAGAGTAGTGTTCATATTGAGTAATTGTAGAAGGGTGAGGCGAAAGACGAGGGACGAGGGAGGAAGGGCTTCTCCAGGAGGAGGCGCAGGAGGAGGCGCCACTCGGGAGCGCGGTGGGGGGGCGCCTCAGCTCCCGCGACAGCGAGCAGGAGGTCCGGCCCCCGATGGAGCCCTGGGCGCGGCGGCGCCGCCCGTCGCTGCCGCCGCGCAGCGCCCTCCCACCCGTGGCCGCCCCCGTCGCTGCCGCCGCCCTCGCCGCCGTCGCTGCCGCCGTCGTTGTCGTCGCCGCGGCCGCCAGCGCCGCGTCGTCGCCGCCGCCGCCGTTGTCGCCATCGACCCAGCATCCTGCATGCCTCGTCCATCGTCCATCATCCCTCCTCCATCCTCCCTCGTAGATCATCTCTCGTGCCTCTCTCGTCCCTCTTCCCTCCTCAATCCTCCCTCCTCTCCCCTACCTCCTCGATCCTTCCTCGTCGCTCCTCGCTCCTTCCTTCCCCACCGTCTGGCATCCCGTCCCCAGGATCCCTCCTCCGTCCTCCTGCCCACCTCCTCACTCCTCCCTCCCCTGCAGCCCCTCACTCCGCCCCCTCCCGCCTCCTCCCTCCTCCCTCCCTCCTTCTCTCCCTCCTCCTGCCTCCTCCCTCCTGCCTCCTCCCTCCTCCCTGCCCCCTCCTGCCTCCTCCCTCCTCCTGCCTCCTCCTGCCTCCTCCTGCCTCCCTTCTCCTGCCTCCTCCCTCCTCCCTCCTCCCTGCCCCCTCCTCTCTCCTCCTTCCTTCCCCCCCCCCCCCTGCGGTGCGAGGAAGGCCCTGCCGCCCCCCCCCCTGGCGGGACAGAGGCGCCACGCCGCGCCGCCGCCTGCTTGGACGCGGCGCCCCCCTTCGCCTGGGCCTGGCGGGAGGAGGAGGAGGAGGAGGAGCAGGAGGAGGAGGAGGAGGAGGCTAGAGGAGGATGAGAAGGAGGAGGAGGAGGAGGAGGAGGAGGAGGAGGAGGCTAGAGGAGGAGAGGAGGCTGGAGGAGGAGGAGAAGGAGGAGGAGGAGGAGGAGGACGAGGAGGAGGACGAAAAGGAGAGGAGGAGGAGGAGGAGGAGAGGAGGCTGGATGAGGAGGAGAATGAGGAGGAGGAGGAGGAGGAGGAGGAGGAGGACGAGGAGGACCGAGGAGGAGGAGAAGGAGGAGGAGGAGGAGGAGGCTGGATGAGGAGGAGGAGGAGGAGGAGGAGGAGGAGGAGGAGGAGGAGGCCGGGCACGGCGAAGGCGCCGCGGCGCCGCGGCGCCGCTGGCGGAGGAGGCCGCGCCCAGGCCGCGCGAGCAAAAGGCCCTGAGAGGACGCCGCCTGGGCGCCCTGCCGACCCCGGCCGAGCCCCCTCCGGGGCCGCGGGTCGGCCGCGCACGCTGCTCTGGCCGGGCCAGGAGGGCATACAGGGCAGTTTTTTCATACATAGGATTTTAAACATATCGGACTGTTTAATGCATGATGAATTTCTGAATGAAAGTATGCATGAACTCAGCGCTGTTATTCATCGTAAATCCCTGCATGCTTAATCCATGATCCGCGCGAGGAGCATGTATTAAAAACGGCACTGTACACTTACGTCGGGCGTGTCGCCCTACGGGGGGATCTTGGACGAAAAAATAAAAAGTCTTCAAAACATACTCAGGAAGATGCCCACAAATCCTCAAACAATATTCCCAAGGCTATGTTGTTACTGTTTTTGTATATTCCCCCTGTAGAGGGACAGGTCCGACTTAAGCGTACACACTCGAGACGCGGCCACGGGAGCGCTGAGAAGCAAGAGAAGTAGGAGACCTTCCACGAGAAGTCCAAGCCTCCTCCTCTCGCTGCAGAACTCCTCCTCCCCCTCCTCCTCCTCACCCCGCCTCCGCGTCGCCCTCCTCGGTCCCCATCGTCTCGCCTCCACTCGCTCCCTCGTCCCTTACAGTGAAGGCCCGACCACAAGAAACCTTCCACAAGAAACCCAACCCTGAGACCCCAGGACGTCCCGTGGTTTTTGGCGTGGGAACGTCACGCCTTCCATCGCAAAACCATCGAAACCCAAGAAACCCAGGGCACCCAGGAGGCGAGCAGGGTGTTTCTTGGCATGGGCCCCCGCTGTACACGAACCCTTTGGGAGGGCCAAGCCATCAGGGACAGGGGGTCTGTTCTGCAGACGTAGTGGACCAGCCCACCCAGAATCATGATCCCTGATGCGAGGACGTGGGCCTAAGCGAGACCACTCGGGGATGGACAGAGCCCCCTTTCGTAAAACGTGGTTTCGTGAAAACGACCTGAGGGCGCAAGCCTGGAAAATGACGGCCACGGCGCCCTCTCGAGAACCGAGAACGGACAATTCAATAAATCGACGTGTCACTGTTTGGGGGTTCTGTCCAGCCCCGGACCACGCCTTCACTGTGCCGTCAGGGTTGGAAGCTCCCTCGCTCTCGGCGCGAAAGAACGTGGGCCGAGAGCCTGAGCCCCTCCGCCGAGGGCCCCAGGGCCACAGAAACATGCTCGAAGCAGTTTCCGTGTCGAGGGGGGGGCCAAGCATGAACTCGGACCTGTCCCCCTACAGAGGGGGATTTTCGACGAAACATTAAAAAAATGCCCCAAAACAAATAATCAAACAAAAGTCGAAAAAAAGTCTGGGGAGTATATTTTGAATATGTTTTGACCTTTTTGGGGCATTTTGGGGGTATGTTTTGTTTTTCGTCGAAAATCCCTCTGCAGGGGGACACGCCCGACATAAGCCAAGCACGAAGGACAGAGAGGTACCACTCCAAGGCTGGGAGCGCTCAGCCGTCGAGGAAGCTGCCCTCAAGGGGCCCAGGGACACACCAACTGATAGACACAGATCCCAGGATTCCCCCGATGTTCATACGTGTTCTGGGTTTTCGTCTTCCCTAGAACAAAACTGTATAAACAGAAACTTCTGGTGCTCCGCGAGGAGTTCTTGGATGTGCGCTGGACCCCCCTCCCTGGCGCGCGGAGCGCGCCAAGGGCGGCGCCGGAGGCGCCTATAGGGAGGCCCGGGCGCCTGTCCGAGAAGTCCTCACAGAGCGCAAAAACAAATTACGTTTGTGCAGTTTTCCTCCTTCGATTCCACCCCACTTCCCATAGTTCCCCATCTCTTCCTGGGAGTCGCCGATCAGCTGCGTCTGTGCTCTGTTCCCTCCTGCCTGCGCACCGATCCCGGGCCCGGACCCCGCCTGGCCAGGGCCGGTGTGGGTGGCCCACCGACGTCGGGGACCTCCGCTGGCGTCGAACACTTCGAACCCCGACCCCTCCCCTCCCCCAGCCTTCTGTGGGGCGTGTCCCCCTACAGGGGGATTTTCGACGAAAAATAAAAAATGCCCCAAAAATACACCAGAAAGGCAAAAAAATAGTCCAAAAATAGACCCCATACTATTTTTGGATTATTGTTTGACTATTTTGGGGGTACTTTTCCACAAGATTAGCGCACTGCATCTTCTATCCCACTTAGTGGGATAACAGGCTTCTGAGCACAGAGCTAACTAACACAAGAGTGTACGGCAGCTTCTATCCCACTTAATGGGATAACAGGCTACTGATGAGCACAGAGCAAACCTACACAAGAGCGTACGGCAACATCTATCCCACTTAGTGGGGTAATGGGCTTCTGACAGAAACACGCACAGAAAAGTGACTTAAGACCGACTTTTCGCCAGTGCTTAGGAGACGCGACTGATACGAATTGCCCTCAGAACGTATCGGGCTAGACTTGCACACATTGTGTCACAACCCCTACCGCATGGCCCAAACGGCCACTGCACGACCGAATGGCCCAAACGGCCACTGGGGTATCTTTTATTTGTCGATGAAAATCCCGCTGTAGGGGGACAGTCCCGACTTAACAATGGCAGAACAGAAACTACTGAACATACATGTTCGGAGGTCCGGGCAGACTTCTTGGATCGACGCTGGGACCCTCTCCCTGGCACGCGGAGCGCGCCAGGGTCGGCGCCGGAAGGCCCGACTGCCGATTCGCCAAATACCCGCGCGGAACTCGAAAAGTGAATGCGTGTGCCTCTCTTCTGCTCTTCGAATCAGCAGGAAACCATGCTGGAGAAGGCGACTGATCGAGACCTACATCACACCCGAGGGCGGCCCCCTGGCCCGAGCCCTGACGTGGCAGATTTGAGTGACGTGTGGGTGCTACCACGATGAACGAGTTGGTTGAAAGTTCGGTTGAAAATGAATTTCACATGTGGTTGAACATGAAGGGTGGGAGAAGCAGGGCGCAAGGCGCCTTGGGGCGACGTTGCGAAACCCCGGGTCATCACACCAGGCGGCGGCGTTCAAGCGGATGGGGGACTTTGCATAGTTCTGCTGAAAGGGAAAAGAAAAGGGGAGAACTGCCAAAATACTGGACCCTGGCCAGGCGGCGGGAGGGAGCCTTTGCAAAATTTCAAGCCCACGTAGGGCGCCCGAAGGATTTTTCAAAACTCTTGACCCCCGCCAGGCGGCAGTCTTAAACGAGTCGGGGGACTATGCCAAATTCTCGAGAACTGGGGGCTTCGCGACCACTCTGGACCTTCGCCGGACGCTATGGGTGGATTTTGCAAAATCTGTAAGCCCGCGCAAGGCGCTCTGGGCGGAAGGGGGGGGGACGGTTAGCAAAATTCTGGATGAGCCAGGCGACAGTCTTTCAATTGGCCCAGGGGGCTTTGCAAATTCTCGGGGGGGAAGGGAGGCCTGTCTACAAAATTCTGGAGCCTCGCCAGGCGCTGGGCGACGGGGGGGTCTTCGCAGAATTCGGGGGCCTCGCCAGGCGCCAGGGGTTGTATTCACCAAAGGCGGCGGAACGAAGTTACGTTGCGATGAAGGTGCGAAAGGACAAAGATCCCGCTGACCCGGCAGCAGGCTGCGCGGTGATTCTGCGGGGGCTGCGAGGTCATGCTGGGAGTCGCTGGGCCCCGGTGCCGGGAACTGGTCCGTGATGACTCGTGGAAGTTGCGAAGTATCGCTGGGATTTGCTGGCGCAAGGTGATCTTGCGTAACCTCCGGTAGCGGTTGTAACATGGTTACAAAAACGGTCGACGGCTAGACATCTTTTGATAGTGGATTTGTTATATCTGTTGATAATGGATTGGCGAAGCGGTCGACGTTGAAAAAAATATGTTTGTCCGGTCGATGCGCGTCTGTCTGGTTAGCGCGCCGTCGCGCGACCGGTCAGCGCGCCGGGTTGGTGCGCTGCCGCGTGCCCGGTTGGCACGCTGTCGGACGGCCCGCGGGCGATGCCGACGACGGTCCGTCGATGGCGCGCGGGCCGAGGGGGCGGGCAGAAGTCGCGGGGGGAGAGATGGCGGAAGAAGCAAGGTCACGGGCTATGGGCCACGACTTGAGGAGAATGAAGGAGGATGCGTTGCGCGGGCGCGGGGAGCGGGGAAAGTTGCAAAGGCGAACAAGGAAGAGGGGAGCACGCTGCGCAAGACGTTGGAACTCTTTCCGGCAAGCCCCAGCACCCTCCACCGCGGCCGCGCGCTCTGCTCTCGAGCGGGGCTCTAAACTCTGGGCTCTGGACCCCATGTGCTAGCGCCTAGGCTGCAGAACTTCGTCGAGAAGACTCGCTTGCAAAAGGGCCGTCGTAGACTTCTCCGCGAGCCCAACGCGCCGGTCGTTGCGCGGCGGCAACGTGGCCTTCAGCGCCTGCGCCAACGACGCTGGCCCCTGCGCACTGTCTGCGCGACGGGCCGCGGCGATCCAGCACGCGCGGCCGTCGCCCAGGCGCACGCAAGAGCTGCGGCGTGAGCGGCCACTGGCCTTACGCGCGGCTCGCACTGAGCACGGGGCGCGGGGGGGAGATCGACCCGCGGTGCACGACGTGACGCCGCCAAGAGAGCACTCCAGCGATTGTTCCGCCGCGTCGAAGG